CCCCCCGGCCCCGGGGCCCCCCCCCCCCCCCCCCCCCCCCCCCCCCCCCCCGTGGGCGTTTTTATCGCATCCTCGGTCCTCCTCGCCGGACACCTCCAGGGGGTGCCCTTCCCGTGTGGTCTTGGAAAAGGTGCAGAACCGAGTTACAGGGGTCGCCCAGCGTCGGGGAGCTGGGCCTGGACCACGCGCCCCGTGCGTAGACCCGCGCGCCCAGCAGACCCCCGGGTGCATCCGTCCCCCGGACCCCCCACCGCGGCCCCGCCTCCCCCACCCAGGGCTGCGCTGCTGCGGCAGCTTCTTCTAATGGGTTAAGTGACTTTGCTGCAGACACAATCCCGTTTCCGCTCCTGGCATGAATAAAAGATGAATTCCGCCGGCTGTCAGGATCCTCCCGCGCACGCACGCACCACGCGGCGGCTCCCGCGAGGCTGACAGTCAGAGGCCCCGCGGGGAGGGAGCTGGGGGCGCCCCCACGGAGCGCTAAATGAGGGATGTCGGCTCCGCCCCGGGAGGCCCACGATGGGGGAGCCCTGGGGTGGGGGGTGGCGTGCGCTGAGGATGGAGGAGCACTGGGCGAGGAGTCCAGGCCCCTTGCACAGCTGTTTATTGAACAGCCACTCTGTGCCTGGCGCTGTTCTAGCCAAGAAAACTTTTTAAAGGCAGACAAGGACCCTGCCCTCACGGAGGGGCGTGGGGCATAGTAGAAAATACATGTGCGCACAAATGAATACCTGACACCAGGCGGGTGTGATAAGATCTATGGAAACAGTGAAGTGGGGGAGGGGAGGGAAGGGACAGGTTGGGGGGGGGGGCTGTGGTTGCAGGAGGTGACATCTCAGCCTGAAGTTGAGGAGGAGGAGCCGTCCAGGCAGAGGGCACCCCAGGTGCAAAGGCCCTGAGGTGGACGTGTGCTTGCATGCCTTTGAGGCTGGAGTCGGGGAGTCTGGGAGAGGGGATGAGGCCATGGAGGAGCCGGGGCAGGTCACGCAGCGCCTGGGGGGGCCACTCAGCAGTGGACCGCTGTGCTGAGTGGGGTGGGAGGGAGGCTTTCTGGTTCCCCCCAGGATGGAGCCCTGGGTTGGACTCCATAGACCCTACCAAGCGAGCTGTGGTGGAGCTTGCTGGCTGCTCATTAACCAGGCCTGGCCCCTCCGGGCTCCAGCCGGGCAGGGCAGGGCACCTCACTCTCCCGCCTGGCTGCTTTCTCTTGGCAACAGATTGCACAAACCCCAGAGCTAATATTGAACTTGCCTGGATTTTAAATAGCCGCTGTAAACACCACTGCTCCCAGCCCCGGGCCCTCTGATCCCTGCCCAAGGGGGGCATTCAGGTGCGGCTGGCCCCAGGTGCTGCCTGGGCAAACACCACAGAGGGCAAGCGGGGGCAGGGTCAGTTATGCAGGAACCAGAATCCCAATCGTGTGAGGTGCCCCCGAGGAGTGAACATGTCCCTTTGGGCTGGAAATGGCCAGAAGGGGCCTTTCTCTGCAGAGAGGAGCAAAACCGAGTCAGGCTGGGGAGCCATTTCCAGCCCTGCGTGGACAGCCTCCCTGAGCAGTGGCAAAACCAGGCCTTTGCCGCCCCACTCCCACAGGCCAGGCGCTGGGGTCAGGTTCGCCAGGGGGTGCCCACCTGGCCCCCAGCACTGCCCAGGGCTCCAGGCCTGAGCCACTCCTCCTGGAGTGGGGTCACCTTCTGCTATACCTAGAGACACAGGCAGAGTCCCACCAGCAGCAGTTCCCAGCCGCTGGCCCCTGGGGGTCTGGGCCGAGCCAGCCTCAGCACACACTTGGGAAGTGCTGTCGGCCCCCATCCCCCACCCTGACCCAGGGACTCTGATCCCCAGGTTTTGAGAGGGGGTGTGAACAAAAGAGAGTAGATCAGGACAGGGGTCATGGTGCCGGGCAGAGGGGGCAGGGGGGGTGGCATCCTGCCTTTGCCAAGCGACAGGACTGTGGCGAGTGGGCATCTGTCAGTCTGTCTGTCAGTTAGTCCATCTGTCCTCCCACCCGGGCAGCAGCATGCTGCTGGAGGCATGGCTGATTCAGATGAGGACTATTCCAGGACCTCGGAGGAGCCAGAGGAGCAGCAACTTGTCTCCCTGATGACAACGGTCCCCATTCGTCCATTCACTCCCTCGCTCATTCATTCATTCACTCATTCATTCATTCAGGGAGGACTTAATGAAGTCCCTCTGCGTGTTCTCAGCAGTGGGTGGGGCAGTGGCCCCAAGGCCCCAGCCCTCCCCGTGCCGGGGGCCAGCTCTCCCTGTCAGAAGTCAAGCCTGAGATGCCACGTCAGGATCTTTCTCCTGTTCTGCCCACGGCCTGCCATTCATCACGGGTCATGGGGAGACCAGGGGTTTCCGGGCGAGACACCAGGCCTTCTGGAAGCAGCCTGCTGGGGCCGGGGGCCGCAGGATAGAAGCACGGCAACGTTTTAACGCTGGCCCAGCCGGACCCCCTGGTACAAGCCGCACACTGAGCCCCGGCTGCTGGGCTCCACTTGGGTCACGCGGTCTGGCCCTCCCTTGCCCACCCCTGCACAGCCGGAGGCTGGCCTGGGGGGCCGGCCCACCGCCAGCCCCGCCTCTCCCTTCCCTGCAGTCCTCCAGGATCTTGCTTAAATACTTTAAAACAATCTAAAAGTGATTATCACGAACAGGCTGCTTGGGAACACCTGCTCCATCCGTCCCTTGGAATCGCTAATGCGCCCGCACCGAGCGCTGACAGGCGTCGGCTCCTCGCGCGGCCCGAGTCGCCAGATGCTCCTGCGCCCTGGTGCCCCCCTCGCCACCCCGCCGCGTGGCACGGCGAGGGCCGCCCGAGCCCGTGTTTCCAGCGCTCCCTGCACAGCTGTCACTTACAGCGATCAGTAGGAAAATCGTCACCCCACGAAGTCATACATATGGAACATCATATTTGCAGAATATTTATTTTAACACGTGTCGGGGCCTCCTCCGGTGGCAGGCACAGCCTCTGCCTCACGTCAGGCAGCTGGAGCAGGCTTTCATCCCGGAGGACAGCGGGGCCAGCAGAGGCGGGCAGCACACCCCAGGGGGCTGGGCTGAGCTGCGGGACCCCGGCCGTGTGCCCAGGGCTCCCATGGGCCCTCCCTTGGTGCTCTGGGGTGGGGGCTCAGCGGCGCCCCGTGTCCCTGGCTGCTCCCGTGTCGTCACAGCTGTTGAACAGCTGCCTGTTCTGTGCTGTCTCAGTCAGGGGCCAGCCAGAAAACAGAAACCACACGGGGTATTTCAACAGAGAGGATTTAAAGCAGGGTATCGGTGCAGCAGGTGTGGCAGGACTGAAAGGGCTGAGGGGGCACACAGGTAACAGAGATGGTGGCACCTGCAGGAAACAGTGCACCCCCAGGCCAGGGACAAGGTTGGGGTTGCTAGAAGCCAGACGCCTGGTGGAGGAGGGACCCACGGAGCTAGGAGCCAGACCTCGGAGGAGGGGGTGTAGCTGGGCGGGTGCCGGGAGTGTGGGGAGGACGCAGAAGCTGGAGGGAGGACTCACGGGGCGATGCTCATGGGCCAAAGCAAACCTTGTGGGGGTGAAGGGGCGCTGTATCTTCCTGCTGGGCACTCTGGGGGGGAGCTGCACCTCCTGGGAGATACTGAGCTGCAGGGACGAGGGGCCATAAAAGATGCTGTCACCCACACACTGCCACTCCGCCTCTCAAGGCTCGCCACGCCAGCCTGCCCTTCCCACCTTCCTAAAATCATGACAGCCCCCATTTATCAAGCAGTGCTGGGCAGTCGTATCTCCTCCGCCTCTTCATGCCAGAAAGGAGTAACTTTGTTCCCAGATGACTGATGGGGAGACTGAGGCACAGAGGTGAAGAGACTTTGATCTTGACCCAGAACCCACAGCAGTAAGAGGCGAGTGGAAATCAGAACTCCTGTACTGCAACCTCCTCAGGCTAACGTCCTACAGATAACGTCTTCTAGATCTATCCCTTCTCATAGATAGGGAAACTGAGGCATGGAGCATGAGGTTACCAGCCCACAGTTGCTCAGCTAGTCAGCGGCAGGACCGCGATTCAAACTTCAGACAGTCCTGGTCCAGAATCTACACTTTTAGTCACTAAGAATTTGTGGGAAATGGATGATGGATGGGTGGAAGGATGGATGGAGAATGGATGGGTGGAAGGATGGATGGATGGATGGAGGACGAATGGATGGAGGAAGGAGGCGTGGACGGATGGTAGTTTGATGTATGGATGGATGTGGAGGAAAGGAAGGAAGGAAGGAAAGAAGGAGGGAGGAAGGAGGGAAGGAAGGAAAATATGCCTGTGGCCTGAGACGTCTGCAGTCTCTGGAAGGGTGCTGAATCGCCCTGCGTTAGCCCGCTTCTGGTGGCTCAAACACCTGCGTCCTGTGTTTTCTAGTGATAAGTGCGTGAAGAAGAGGCCAGGAGGCGGGACAGAACATGGGTGTGGGGTGTCCCCTAGACTTTGGTTTGAACCCCGACTGCTCCCCTCCCTGCCGGGTGACCTTGGAGCCTCAGTTTGCTCCCCTGGGAAGTGGAGCTGTGGGGCTGTCCACCCCGCCTCATCCCCGCCCACGAGCCAGACCTCACAGGGCGAGCGGGTTCTGCCCGTGCCATTTCTGTGCACCTACGTAACACGCCACGGCTCTAAGCCCACACATGATACACACTCAGACCCAAGTACACACAGACCTGACACGCTGCCTAATTTCCAAAACCACACAAGGGGGCAGACACCCATGGGCACCCGCGTTTCTGCAACCTAGACCTGCAAAGGGGACACGTGGAGTCAGACGAGTTGAGACATAGCCCAGGACACACACGCCTGCCCATGACACACGACCCCCACCCTGAACCTGCATCTGCGGCCCCCTCAGAGGACACCCCGCAGCGCCAGATGCCCGTGATCACGATCTGTCACGGCATGGTCCAGGCATTCTCCCTGGTCCTCAGACCTGCCCCTGGGCCTTTGCACCTGCTGTTTCACTGCCTTGAACACTCTTCCCACTCACACGTATCTGCATGGTTCGTAGCCTCCTGAGGCCTCCCTCCCCCCGACCCCTTGGGGCTCTCTACCCACCATCCCTGCTCTTTTCTTCTCCAGAGCTCTGTGTCACAGCTCACATACACATGGATGTGTGTATTTACTTATTGTCTGTGTCTCTGCGGGACTGTTAGCTGCACCAGAGACTTGTGTCCTTGGGGGCGCTCTTCCCAGGGCGGGGAACAGGGCAGGCAGACGGCAGGCGTGCAGTAAATCCAGTGTAGCGAGCAACTGTTGGCAGATTGCGTTCATTCACTCTCGTCTCTTCGTCTCCGGGTCCTCCGTGAACAGATCAGGAGCCTGGTCGGAGCCCAGCTCTGCACCAGCTGCGGGGCGGGATCCTCACCACCACGTCTAGCCGTGTCCAAGCACCCACAGGGCACCAGGCGCTGGCAGGGAGGCTCGCGGTGACTTCCTTTAGTCCCCACAACCTCGTGGAGCAGGAAGCCCACCTCACGGATGAGGAAACAGGCGCAGACCTCTGGGGAAGGACGGAATCTAGCCCCACAGTGGTGGGAGCTGTAAGACGCACACCGATAGACAAACCAGGGAGAGCCTCCTGGCGGTGGTGGTAATGCCCAGTTCATGGGTGAGGGGAGAAGCCCACCCAGAGAGGTCAGGCAGCCTGCCCGAGGTCACGCAGCTTGGCAGGACCAGCTTGGCGGAGCCGGGAGGGACCTAGGCAGGACCTGCGCTGGGAGGGCGGCGGAGGGATCCTGGCTGGTAAGTCGATGGCCATGCCGCCTGCATCCTTCCACTGCACTGGGACGCCTGGCCGGGCCAGGGAGGAGGAGAGCGAGCATTGGCCACACAGTGGCTCTCAGCCTGGGCTCCACGCAGTGGTCACCTGGGGAACCTTACAAAATACAGACCCCTGGCTGCCACCCTGGGGGTGCTGGCTCCATCAGCCCAGGGTGCAATCCGGGTTGGGAGATGTGGCATCAAGCATGTTCGTCTCAAGTGTGCGGTTGGGGAATTCTCATTGATGCATAGCGTGATCTCCGCCCAGGTCAGGATCCAGAACAGCCGTTCTCAGTGGAGGGCCGCCGGGTGGGGGGCTCCTTCAGACACCGATTGCCAGCCCTGGACCCAGGGTCTGTGACTCTGACCCAGGGCAGGGCCTGAGAAGCTGCATTTCTAACCAGCTCCCAGGAGATGCTGTTCTGCTCAGAGACCACCCCCCTTGGAGAACCATGGACACAGAACACCCCAGGTCCCCCAGAGGGCGCTGGGCAGGAGGATTTCTAAAAGCCCCCCAGAGATTCTCCTGTGCTGCTAAGGTGGAAACCCCCGCCTCCAGAGGCGGACTTCCGTCCCGTGTTCAAACCATGAACTTGGCTCAGAATCGCAGAGTCTCTCGGCCCTGGCTGGCGGGGTGGCCAGGTCAGGAATGCACAGGAACTGGGGGGCAGGCGGAAGCCGCCAGGGGTGCGAGGAGGGTCCTTGGCCCAATCTGGCGCTTGGCTCCGTTCGCCGGGGACGGCTTGCTCAGTTACAGCCGATTGTTGCTGCAAGATGGCTCATGGCAGAATCTTTGTATTTTTCTAGAGAAGCCAGAAGTCCAGATTTTTCTGTCAAATCTGATTCTTAAATGTTGGCAACTAATGTGAATATACAATTCTCATGTTACCGCAGGGCGAAAACCACGCGAACCCCCAGCCGCCTACGCAGGCAGGCTGCGTTCACAGTGCCGGCTTCTCTCATCCAAATGCCCGCTGGCCCCATCTGATCCTTTGGGGAATCAGATCAGGGCTGGAAATTGGCCTCCGGGGGTGGGGGTGGGGTCTTCCTCCTGGGTCCCCTCTGACTCTTGGCCGTGACCTGCCATCCCAGAGGGGCTCTGCCTTCCGTCCCCACTGCGAGCCCACCCGGGCAGGAGGGGATGGCCTGGCACCCTAAGCACCCACCGCCCAGAGGGTGTCCGGGCCCCCTGCGCCCCTAGCCGCCCGCGCCCTCTCCTGACAGCTTCATCAGGCCTCCAGCCTTCCCCATCCCATTGTCCCCACATCTGTTTCTGTAAGTGATAAATTGCAATTAGCGAGCGGTTTGAAGGCCCTGGAAGAACACTCAGCAGAAAACTCATCAAGATTAATGAGTGGCGGGTCGGGGCCTCGCAGACAGGCCGCCCAGCGGGACCTGGTGGTGTCGTCGTCCCCCGGGCAGGTGCTGGGAAGCAAATTGGAGGTGACACCCCCCACTCCACGCCCCCCCAACCCTCCTCCCCCATAAACTACCATTAGATGATTTCTCATCAAAATGCATGAATTACCCACTAATAGGCTATTAATAAAGCCCTTCAGTGTCATAAGATGAGGTTCTAAGCATGCAGAACGGATTGCAGTGCTTCCAGAAGACTCCGCCGTCGGGCACACCCAGACAGGGGGGAGGCGGGAGGGTGGCAGCCCGCACACAGCCATCCCCTCCATGGGGTGACTGCAGGGGACTGAGGATGCGCCTGAAACACCAAGTCAAGTCTGCAGGGAAGTGGGTGCTCCCTGAGGTGGGGATTCTTGGCGGCGTCGCCCCCCCAGGCAGGTAGAGGCCGGTGGGAGGGAGGCGCTGGCAGCTTGAACCTCAGACCCGGGTTCAGCATCCTGCGCCTTCTGCCGTCTCCCAGGTGCCCGAGCACCGGGCTGCGCATCCCAGAGCACGGCAACGCCACGCGGTCCTTTGCTTGTTCCCTTCTATGCCTCGCCCACACATCCGTACGTTGTGTCTTGTGCACATCTTGTACACGTGTGTCACACGTGTGTGTAGTCGTGCAACGTGGCAGGTAGACGCCGCCTCAGCTCTTAGACCCTTTGTGCGTTTCCAGTTTCCCAAATCCCATTTCTTTTTTTTTCTTCTTCTCCCCAAATCCCCCTAGTACACAGTTGTATATTCTAGTTGTAGGTCCTTCTGGTTGTGCTATGTGGGACGCTGCCTCAGCATGGCCTGATGAGCAGTGCCATGTCCACGCCCAGGATCCAAACCAGTGAAACCCCAGGCCGCCGAAGCAGAGCACGTGACCCTAACCACTCGGCCACAGGGCCAGCCCCCCGAATCCCATTTCTAATGATAACAGGTGTTTATGGAGGGACCATTCTGGGTCGGGCGTTTTCCAGTCGTTCTCTGCAATGCTTCCAACATGCCTGAAGCGCCCCTGTTCATACACAGGGAAACTGAGGCTGGGACCATTGAAGTAGCAGGCCCCAGACTCACAGTTGGTGACGGAGCCAGGATTCGAACCTAGGTCTGTCTCACAGGTGCATATTGAGCTTGGTGTCCCAGAAGTCTAGAGCCATCACATTGTGGATGGAAGGCCCCCATTTTCACTTTTATTTTTATCTTTTTTTTTGCTGAGGAAGATTGTCCCTGTGCTAAGATCTGTTGCCAGTCTTCCTCTATTTCGTATGTGGGATGCTGTCACAACACCACCGACGACTGCACCATCATGCCTGGGAACTGAACCCCAGCTGTTGAAGCAAGTACACAGAACTTGACCTCTAGGCCATGGGGCTGGCCCTGGAAGGTCCCCATTTTTTATCCTGTGCTTCTTCAGGTCCGCTCTGGGGCCCAGAGGGTGATAAGTCCCCCCAGAGACCCTTCTGGGGAAAATGGAAGGGGGTCTGGAGGTTCTGGGGGCTCCAGGGCTCAGGGAGGCTGAGGCACCGGCCCGGGAAGGCGCTGTTATTGATGGCGGGCTGCAAGGAGTGAGCAAGTCATCCAGTCCACCTTGGGTCAAATACATTCTCTGGCTTGGTTTATACTGTCATTTTGTTCCCTTTGGTCTGCACAAAACCCTAACGAGGCAGCTCTTAAGCCCATTTTATAGACAAAAAATCTGAGACCCAGGGGGGTTCAGCCGCCTGGGTCAGCTGACCAGGCGTGAAGGCAGAACTGCGATTTGACTGAGCTCAGGTTGGTCTGACCTCAATCCTGGGGTCCCTTTTATTGTTCTCACTCCCAAGTCACCTCCCTTGCCCTCTGCCAGCCTTAGAGAGAGAAGCAAGTGTACACCATTGACCGTGATCGCTGGCCACCCCTGGGCCCGCTGCTGCCCACTCTGTAGATTCCTAACAGGTTTGGGGCCCTTCTGCTTGGCACCGATATGTCTCTCTGACAACATGTGGGCTGACTGGGTGATGGATGGGTGGGTGGATGGATGGATGGGTGGGTGGATGATGGATGGGTGGATGGGTGGATGGATGGATGGATGGGTGGATGGATGGATGGATGGATGGTTGATGGATGGATGGATGGATGGTTGACAGATACATGGATGAATGGATAGATGGATGGGTGGATGATGGATGGGTGGATGGATGGATAGATGGATGAGTGATGGATGGATGGATGGATGGATGGATGGGTGGATGGATGGGTGGGTGGATGGATGGGTGGGTGGGTGGATGGATGGATGGTTGATGGATGGATGGATGGATGGGTGGATGGATGGATGGATGGATGGTTGATGGATGGATGGATGGATGGTTGACAGATACATGGATGGATGGATAGATGGATGGGTGGATGGATGGATGGGTGGGTGGATGATGGATGGGTGGATGGACGGATAGATGGATGAGTGATGGATGGATGGATGGATGGATGGGTGGATGGATGGGTGGGTGGATGGATGGATGGATGGTTGATGGATGGATGGATGGATGGGTGGGTGGATGGATGGATGGATGGTTGACAGATACATGGATGGATGGATAGATGGATGGGTGGATGGATGGATGGGTGGATGGACGGGTGGATGGATGGGTGGATGGGTGGATGGGTGATGGGTGGATGGATGGATGGATGGGTGGATGGGTGGTGGATAGATGGATAGATGGATGGGTGGATGGGTGGATGGATGGGTGGATGGATGGATGGATGATTGGGTGAATGCTGGATGGATGGATACTTGCATGGAATTG